CATTTATGAGAGTCTTAAATTGAAGATCTAGAGTAAGTTGGCTGGCTGGAAACCCGGGAAAGAGCTGAAGTTGTAGCCTTGTGTCTAAAGGCAGTCTGGAAGCAGACTTCCTTCTTAGGGTAGGTAGCTCAGTCTTTTTCCTGAAGAACTTCAAGGATTAAGAGGAGGTACATTCTATAATGAAGGACAGTTTACTATATTCAAGACTTTACTGATTTAAGTATAAAACATACCTTAAAAATGCTTCCTTAGCAAGATGTATGCTAGCATTTGAACAAAAATAAACAATTAAAAAAAGGTATCATGGCCTACTTCAGTTGATGTGTTAAAAATCAACCATTGCATAGGGAGTCCAGGTAAGATGGAATGTGAGATGATCTGTGATTATGAATTTCTAAAGAATATTTCCTCAGTCTTAAACATTACCAGATTCTCTGTAACTACCATTCTACTTTCACCATCAATTGTTATGTTTTTATGTAACTAAGGATTTAATATTTGAAAGGTAAATTATAGTCTTTTATTTTTGTTATGTTTTATACATTTTTAAAAATTAGGTAAAATGAAATGTCATCACTGAGAAGTATAAAGAAGATTGTGAAAACACAAATTAAACTGAGTAATAAATTACTGCCTTAAGATCTTAAATCACTATCTTTTAATGGCATTTTGTGTTTATGTTTTTAAATCAATTTATGTGAATCCTTTAGTAACTGCAAAATAGCAGCACAAAACTAAGTTTTAGATATTATTTTAAAATAGATATCTACAAAATAACACTATCTGTCTAGATAGAAAATGGAGTCTAGTAAGGCAAACAAAGAAAAACATTGTGCCATAAAACACACCTCTTATAATTATCCACTCACTAATTTTCCCATGAAAATGACATACCCACACTTTGTACCTTGATCCTTGAGTAGCTATGTTCTGCTTTGTACTAAGTAGGGAGACTAAATTGCTTAACCCCCAACATCTCCAAAACAATTTGTGACTTTATTTGGTGACGACTGAGTCCATATAGTTTTTGCAGAGCACATCATTTTCTTCAGTAGCCAGAGAAATTCCACTGTACTCAGAAGCAGAGATTTAGTTTATGTAGGGTGAAGACATTTACTAGTTACATGGTTACCTGTAGTCACATGGGCCCTCGTTCAAAACTGATTCTGCAATCGGAACTGATGATATTCCATATGTTAACAGGGCATGAAAATATTTATTTATTATAGAGTTGAGAGAATTTTTCAAGCACATCCAAAATGAGAAAAAGATAGAAAATTGCCTGAATTTTTATTCCAGTTACAGTGTGTGATTAGGATCAGAGCTGCACTATTAGGGCAAGAGCTTGTGTAGTTCAAATCTCCTGCTGGTGGCAGAGGAGAAAAAAAGCCTGGACTTTCTTATGAGTCTGTTTAGATATGTTCACAAGGAAAGGAGGTGGATAAAACATATCTTAAAAATCTGTCAGCATCAGACATCAAAAATTTAAAGTCAACATCATCTTTATACTCGTTTATTTATACCTACAAAAGAGGCATAAGTCTAAGGAGTTGAAGGCAATTGTTTAGACTACAAAATCTTTAGGGAAAGCTATGATTTCTGGAAAACTTTCAACTGCTAGTTTTGTCAAAATGAAGGCTGCCCTGGTTATCTTTAATCATCATTCTGACACAGCCTAGAGTCATCTTAGAGGAAAATTTCATTTGAGGAATTGTCTATATGACATTGGCCTGTTGTCATGTCTGTGGGAGGTTGTCTGGATTATTGTTGATGGAGGAGAGCCCAACCCACTAGGTAGCATCATCCCTGGGCAGGTGGTCTCGAATTGTATAAATAAGTTAGTTTAGTATAGCTCCATGTAGACACCAAGATGAGCCTTTGCTGAAGATGAAGCCTTAGTAGCAGTGGAGACTCCAGGTTATTGGAGATGCCAGGACCATGGAATGTTTGCCAAGAGCAATGGCAAGTGTGAAGTGAAGACAGCCTAAGCCTGAGACCAGTGTGTGTGCTGCAGATGGCAGAGCTGTAGACTTAGACATTTAAATCTGTTCCTTGTTTATAGACAGAAATAGAATTGATTTTTAAAGCTTTCAGTATTTTATTTATTGTGTGTGTGTGTGTGTGTGTGTGTGTGTGTTGGGGGGCAGGACTTGCCAGAGTTGGTTAGATGATTCTCTCTTTCTACCATGTGGCTCCTGAGAATCAAACTCAGGTTGTCAGGTTTGGTGACAGGTATGTTGACATGCTGAGCCATCTGATAGCCTCTAACATATGATCTTCCATTCTTCACGATTCAATTAATTTAGGAACCATGTAGCAGTTTTGTGGTTTTCTTCCTAAGTTATGATACATTCTACATATATATGCAATTTTATTTCTTCCTTTCCCATCTGCATGCCATTTATTTTTTTTTTACTCTATTCCTCTTACTACTACATGTAGTATGATATTAAATAGATAGAGACAATGATCATGGATCTTTGCCCTTTCAGTATGTGAAACTCAAGATGTTATCCTTTTACTGTTTGCAGTAATGAGACTGATGTGCAGATTTTCCTGATGACGTTCTGGGAGGGAATTTGTTTTCCTAGTTTACTGGAGATTATGAATGAGCTCTCACATTTTATCAGTAGCCTTTTCTGTATCTATAAAAAATTGTTCTAAGTTAATTGAATGAACTACATTGATTTTTTCAAGGTTAAACCGACTTTGAATTCCAAGGACAAATTCTATTCAATTACAGCATACAATTACACTTATACATTGTATTTACTTGGCTAAAATTTTTATTTTCATTTTCAAATTTGTGTTCAAAGGAGATGCTAGTCTGAAAATCTAATTTTATATTTTTTTATTTGTCACCAGAATGCTATTTTCATAAAATGTGTCTGAAACTAATTTTTCTTTACGCACTCTCTAGCATTTTGTAAAACTGGTACTTAAAGAAATGTTTCATAAAGGTGACAACTGGTGTCATCTGGTCCTGGGGCTTCCTTTGGGAAAGAGTCTCTAGTTAGAATTTAGTTTTATTAATTGATATGTTATTTGTTTCCTATTTTTTGGGTAGTTTGTGTTTTTCCGAGACTTCTTCCATTTCATATACTTTGTAAGATTAATTGGTATAGTAATTTTCTTATTTATTTTTGATTTCTGATGACATATCTCCTTGTAGGTACTTACATAAGACATCTGTGTTCTTCTTGTTGATAAGTCTGGATGGATGTTATCAATTTTAGTTAATTTTTTCAAGTCAGTTTTTTATTTTTTTGATTTTTGTTGTTATTTTACTTAACTGATTTCTCTGCTTCCCTTGTTACTGCTTTGTTTATGCTGCTCTTGGGATTAATTTACTTTAAAATTTACTTTTTCTAGCTGGGCAGTATGGCACATGCCTTTAATCCCAGCACATGGGAGGCAGAGGCAGGCAGATCTCTGTGAGTTCGAGGCCAGCATGGTCTACAAGAGCTAGTTCCAGGACAGGCTCCAAAGCTACAGAGAAACCCTATCTTGAAAAACAAAAAACAATTTTTTTTTTTAGCTTCTACTTAGGTAGGTGTGGAGGGTATGGGAAGATTTGGGGAAGGAGGAAAATTATCAGAATGTATTATACGAGCACAAATTTCTCCTAAATGTTTTTTTTAAATATTTATTTATTTATTTATTATGTATACAACATTCTTTCTGCGTGTATGCCTGAAGGCCAGAAGAGGGCACCAGACCTCATTACAGATGGTTGTGAGCCACCATGTGGTTGCTGGGAATTGAACTCAGGACCTTTGGAAGAGCAGGCAATGCTCTTAACCGCTGAGCCATCTCTCCAGCCCCTAAATGTTTTCTAGGTCTAAAGCTTAGGTAATTAATTTGAGATACTTTTGTATTTTCTAACAAAGTTTATCATAAAGTCTAAATTTTCATCAAGTATGGCCAACCCGAACCCTAACTCTAACCCCATACTTCTGATGCATTATATTTTATCACTCTATTATAACTTTTTGTAATTATCATGTGAGGTGATTATCTTAAGCCTTGGTAATAATTATTATCTGTAGTCTAGTTTATATTATATGAATATTTTTCATTTCTGTATATTGATAGTGTTTCATGGCATATAAATTTTGAAGTTTTAAACTTTTAATCTATTTAGTACATTTGTACACACACACGCACACACACACGCACATACACACACACACACACACACACCCTGTTTTGCTTTGTTCTGTATTCGACAACATTTCATATGTTGCAGTCTAGCTTATAACTAACCACATACCCTAGGCCGGCCGCAGAGTGCAACAATTCTCCTGTCTCAGCTTTTCAAGTGCTGAGATTAAAGGCGTGAACCATTGTATCTGGCTTATTTCTAAGTTTTAAAAGGAGTTACTGTAGGCATTGTATAGTTTGATGGTTTTAAAATGTGGTTATAAGGGCTTTATATTAATATTGTTATCAATATAGCCAACATTCTTAAATATATTAAATTGTTTTATTATAGGACAGAGTCTCTCTATGTAGTCCTAGCTGTTCTGAAACTTATTGTGTAGACCAGGCCAGCCTGAAACTCACAGAGACCCTCCTATCTCTGCCTCCCAAGTGCTAAGATTAAAGGCATGTATCACCATGCCCAGCTAACCTAAAACAGTTTTTATGATTTCATTTATTGCATTTAATCTTTCAATTGTTTGAACCTACTCTGGAGAAAGAACTGTGTAATCAGATAAATATTAAAAGAAATGAAATGTGTCTGAATTCTCAATTCTTGTTTTACTTTAATGGGAAGGAAACTCCTTCCAATGTTTTCCTATAATTCTTCTAATTGTTAGACTATTACTCATTTATACCACATAATTAAATTTGTGTAAAGTAAAATATTTCAATTTCTTAAAAAATAAGAACAACGAAGAATCAAAACATTAGTTGCTGAATAAGTCAGATTCTCCTTCACCTTTTAATATTTGTGCTAATGCAAGCGTTAGAATCCTTGACTTTGGTTGTGTTAGACTTGGGAGGCCTGGTGTTGACTGTCACTGCCAGCATGAGAGTGGTGCGGCTGTCTTGCAGCTCCAGTTCCTGATCAATGAGGTAAGATGCTTTTTCACCATTTCAAACACATGCACACAGGATTTTTGATTATCTAAATCACATATATGCACGTATTCACACTCACAGAGTATTACTGATTGAGCATTCCTTATCTAAAACAATTGGGTTTACAAAGTCTATGGATCTTAGATTTTAAATTTTGGAATATTTGCATATGTATTGAGACACCTTGGAAAAGATACCCACATCTAAATATTAAATTCATTTATATTCTTTGTATACCCTATACATATAGTTTGAAGGTAATTTTGTATATATTTTCAATGCTCTTGTATTTTGAATTTAATCACAGTAGATTAGATATGGAATTTTCCCTTTGTGGACCTTTTTAACTTTTGGAGCATCTAAGATTTTGTATATTTGGATATTCAACTTGTAGTTGATATAATTCTTTTTGATATTATGATTTTAGATGCTTAAAAATAGATATGTATACATCTTTACTGGTATTCACATTTTTTCATATTTTTATATTAAATTTAAAATCTAATTTTAATACTAAACTTAGTAAGAGAAAAGCATTTTGTCTATCAGAAGATCCTTTTATTATTATTGTATATCATAATTTTAAAATTTATTTAATATTTTTCTAAATCATTAAGCTTTCTTTCTACTCACTTTCTTCCCCCAATTTAAATATTTTGCTTGTATCAAAATTGAAAGTATATTCTTACTTACCAGTAGGATTTTGTGTGTATAATCCGTGCATCTTTTATCTGTATATATTATGTTTTTATGTGAGATATTTGGGACAATTAAGAAAGGAAGGATTGTGACTTAATAGTGATGTGTTTGTGTTAAGTTGACAAGAGGTTAATTGTGCTGGCTAGTTTTATGTTAACTTGGCACAAGATACAGTTACCTGAAAGGAGGAAAGCACAACTGAAAAAATACCTCCATAAGTTCCAACTGTAAGGAAATTTCTTAATTAGTGATCAATGGTGGAAGGCCCAGCCCATTATGGGTGGGGCTTTCCCTGGGCTGGCCCTCCTGGGTTCTGTAAGAAAGCTGGTTGAGTTAGGCACCAAGCAGCATCCCTCCATGGCCTCAGCGGCCTTAGCTCCTGCTTCCAGGATCCTGGCCTGTTTGAATCCCTGTCTTGGCTTCCTTTGAGGAGGAGGAGTGCTGTGGAAATAGAAGCCAAACACACTCTTTTGTTTTTGGTTTAGGAACTGTTTCAGAAAGACATGTAGAGTCTTGTTTCTCTTAATTTCTGGAAAAGAAGTGAAGTTGGAAATTTAAAAATAGGTTTAAAAATATATTTAAAAATATAGAATATAAATAAGAGAGTGTGTGACTGAGGTTGTAAACTGTGAAAGATTATCTTTAGCAAAGTTGTTTGGGAAATATATAAAGCATTTTAGGCATCTCAAGATCACCATGCATCTGCCAGACAGCTATTAGAGAACATCTAGTACTTTAGGTGTCATTTCAGTGGGGAAGGTAGTACTAGAGTAAAAGTTCTGACAACTTCAGATGATCTTTAGATGTGTGTATAAAATTATCTGCATATATGCTTTCTGTTACTTTCAATGGTAGAACATATTCTATTGTGTTTGAAATAGGATTAATTTGTAATTGGTGTTATAAGGTAAAGGATTTTAGTATTATTTTTATAGTTATACCTAATTCATTGTGAAGAAATATTTTATTATAGGTATTTTTAAATATCACTGGTAAAGCTTTTTAGATTGTAAGCAGGTCAAATTATAAAATACATAATTTTAAGAAACAATGCACAATTTTTAGATAAAAGAGTTTCAGAGGATAATCTTATATGATCTGTATTTGATTGATAAAAATGGGTTGGGTATTGGCTTCTCTAGTATTGAAGTTATATATTATTTATGTGCATAATAGAAACGAAAATTAAATTCTATATTTTTAAAGGAAATAAAAGAAAATCCCTTTAATAGTCACAGTGATGCTGCCCTCCTCCATGGTAAATATCATGACCAAAAGAAACTTGGAGAGGAATTGTCTGATTTCATCAAACAGGTTGTAGTTCATCACTGAGGGAAGTCAGAGCAGGAGTTCCCTCAGGGAAGTAACTAACTGAAGAGGTAGCTGAAGTGGAGGAATGCTTCTGCCTGGCTTGCTCCCCTGCTGGCTCATGCTCAGTTAGCTTTCTTATAAAACCTGTGACCACTTGCCTGGGGGCGGGGGACACTGCTTATAGTTTTCTGGGCTCTCCCACATATATTAGTAATCAATAAATATGTGCAGATATTCCACAGGTGGATCTGATGGAGGCATTTCCTCAGATGAGGGCCCTCTACACAAGTGACTCTATTTGTGTCAAGTTGATAAGAAGACCCAACCAGTATGGATGGCTTATTGATTATTCCTTTCTAACAGTAAAAGGGTATTTCTGAACAAGTCATCCTGGCCGTCCTTGTGTAGTAAGCCACTTGCCTCTCCAACTCAACAACCTTAAACTTTCATACTGTAATTTTCTTATTTTTTTCTAGGCTACATAAGTACATATCTATTAAAGAAATGATAAATCTATAAATTTGTTGTTTCTGCTGTCCTAGTAGGTAAGCTATATATCTTGTCTGCTTTTCTCACAGGGCGCTTTGGTTAGTGCGAGTTCAGATGACACACTTCATTTGTGGAATCTGAGACAGAAAAGGCCAGCCATTCTTCATTCTCTTAAGTTTAACAGAGAACGGTAAGAACCTTTGTGAATAACTGTATGATGTGACAGAACTGTATCTCGAGCAAGTTTCATGCTAGTTTGACAGACTTCTTTTATAACTTTAAGCTATTGCCAGTTTTTTTTTTACATAGAAAATGAATAATTGGGACAGATTCAACCACTTATGAAAATGTGAAATGCCTAAACCTTTTGTTCTCTGAGCTATTGAACATCACCTCAGCAATCATATTTTCTTTTCCCTGGGCTATGTCAATGAAAACATAGACCTAAGATTTAAAAATCAGTAAAAGCAAATTTAGTTCACATATTTTTTATTATTTCAGATATCTCCAGCATTCCAGCCCTTACCCTCTTATCTAAATACTTTTCAGTGGTAATGTCATTCAAATTAAACACTGAATTTTAGCATTGCCAAAGATGATACTTTAATAAAAATTCAGTTCCCCTCCAGGGGGTTTATTTGAATGGAAACAGAAGTTATTTTATTGGTAATAAATTGTGTCATATTTTAATATTTCCAGTGTTTGATTCTATTAGACCTAGACCTATGCACATCCACTTAACTAAGAGTCATCAGTGATCAAGCAAACACTGAGACGTACATTAACTATGTAGAGTAGTCTATCTACTATGTGGGAAGCAACCAGACTTTTCTTTTTATAGTAAATGGAAAAGCACACCACAGGATAATTTGACGTTCAAGAGAGGAAGAGAAACCTTTGAAAAGTGAATTTAAACAGATTGACACCATTCAAACCAAGGTAGAAACCGGAGGACAGCAGTTTTGACCCAGAGCTATTTGCAGATGATATGATAGTGTGCATAGTGATCCCAATAAGCAAATCTCAACATAAAATTATTTTGTGTGTGTTCACTGCTACCATATAGAGATACAATTAAGCTTTGAATGTTGATTTGGTAATTTACATTTCGCTAAACTCACCACAGAGTTCCAGGTTCAGACAGATACATGTACATAGGACCTACGTGGTAGGGCAGAATATCTCCCATGTGTCCTGTGCCTGTGCTTGTTGAGATGTTCTGTTCTCACGGTCTGAGTTCCTCATCTTATCTAGAAATGGTCTTAATGGGACTTAGTAGTAGCTATGAACAGAGACATATATGTCTTCTGCTACTTCTCTCCACATCATTATTACCTTGCATTTTCAGTGTTTATTGTATATCTTCCAAAACCTTAACCTCATGTTTGCAGACCTGTGCTTAGAAGTATCTATGCTTTAAGCTGGGCGGTGGTGGTGCACGCCTTTAATCCCAGCACTAGGGAGGCAAAGGCGGGTGGATCTCTATGAGTCTGAGGCCAGCCTGGTCTAAAGAGCTAGTTCCAGGATAGATTCCAAAGCTACAGAGAAACACTGTCTTGAAAAACAATAACCAAAAAAAAAACAAAAAAACAAAAAAAGAAGTACCTATGCTTTCTTAAATTTTCTGCTCTCACTGTCCTGACTTTCTAAAATAATCATACCTTTTCATTTGACTTTTGTAAGTGATCTAGTGTAACAGTAGAACATATTCATAAACAGAGGAATGTGACAAGAAGCACCACTGTGTTTTGCCATGTTGTTCACATATAGTGCTGTGATATTTGTGATTTTAAGGTAATCACAGTGTTTATTTTTAAATAAGCACAAGTTGATGTGTCAGGTCTGTAATAGAGGAAGCAGACAACCCTGAAGGGAGGGCCTGTGGTGGCTGCTTTTATGTTTGTTTGACACAAGCTAGAATCATCTGGGAAGAATTCTCAGTTGAGAAAACGCCTTCATAAGATCAGGCTGTAGGTAGGCACAGAGTGCCTTTTTTTTTTAATTAGTAATTGATGTGGGAATGCCCAGCTCATTGTGGGTAGTGCTACTTCTCATCTGGTGATCTTGGATTCTGTAAGAAAGTAGACTGAGCAAGCCATAAGAGCAAGTCAGTAAGTAGCACTCCTCCATAGCTTCTGAGTCAGTTCCTGCCACTAGGTTCATCTCTTGGGTTCTTGCCCCAACTTCCCTGGATGATGAACTTAAAGCTATAAGATAAAACAAACCCTTCCCTCCTCAAGTTTGTATTGGTCATGGTGTTATGTCACAGCAATAGCAACTGCAACTAAGACATGGCCCCTAAGATAAGGCACCTAACTAAGTTAGGGCCCCTAACTAAGACATGGCCCCTAGCTAAGACAGAGTCTCTAACTAAGACATGGCCCCTAACTAAGACAAGGCCCCTAACTAAGACATGGCCCCTAAGACAGAGCCATAGGGTTTTTTTTTCTTTTTTCTTTTTAATTAAAAATTTCCACCTCCTCCCCTCCTCCCATTTTCTTCTCCCTCCTCCTCCTCTTCCTCCCCCTCCCTCTCCAGTCCAAAGAGCAGTCAGGGTTTCCTGCCCTGTGAGAAGTCCAAGGTCCTCTCCCACTCCATCCAGGTCTAGGAAGGTGAGCATCCAAACAGGCTAGGTTCCCACAAAGCCAGTCAAAACCCAGTGCCATTGTCCATGGCTTCTCACTCAGCCCTCCTTGTTCGCCATGTTCAGAGAGTCCGGTTTGATCACATGCTCCATCATTCCCAGTCCAGCTGGCCTTGGTGAGCTCCCATTAGATCAGCCCCACCGTCTCAGTGGGTGGGCACACCCCTCTCAATCCTGACTTCCTTGCTCATGTTCTTCTCCCTCCTTCTGCTGCTCATTTGGACCTTGGGAGCTCAGTCCGGTGCTCCAATGTGGGTCTCTGTCTCTGCTTCATCCATTGCCAGATGAAGGTTCTATGGTGATATGCAAGATATTCATCAGTAGAACCATAGTTTTGATGCAGACTACAGTTTGCTTCAACTGAAACAGATGACAGTGACATTCTAAGAATTACGCTGTATTACTGCTTTTCATTCATGTTAATTTCCTCTATCTGATGAGAATAGTTACGGTCACCTAGCTTATCATAACGACACAGAAAAGTTATAGAGCAATCACAGTTTGTTTTTCTTCCAAATCTTCCCCACATATTAGGAAGCAAATGTGATGTAATGATGGCGTATAAGCATCAGCAAGTGAGAGAAAAGTGCATTCTAGCTCGCGGTGCTTGTGCTTTGACAAGAATCATATGTATATTATAAAATATAAATTATTTCAGTAACTAAGAATATGGCCTTCCATGGATATCAACAGATCATGGCATATAAAGTTATAGTCAGACTAGGCATCTTGCCTTGTATTAAGGCTGGGCAAGGCAACCCAGTATGAGAGTAGGGTCCCAGAAGCCAGAAAAAGAGTCAGAGACTCTTGCTTCCACTATTAGGAGTCCCACAAGAACACCAAATCACACAACTGTCACATATGTGTAGAGGACCTAGACCAGCCCCAAACAGGCTCTCTAGTTGTTTGTTCAGGATATGTGAGCTTCTATGAGACCAGGTTAGTTACTTCTGTGGGTTTTCTTGTGATGGCCTTGACCCCTCAAGTTCCTACAATCCTTCCTCTTTCTTTCAGAAGAATTCCCCAAGATCCACCTAATGTTTGATTGTGGGTCTCTGCATCTGTTTCCATCAGTTGCTGAACGAAGCCTCTTTGAGTATAGGAGAATACCATTAGATATCATTACAATGACTTTTTCTCCCCTCTGGTCATGTTTGGTTCTATTCTAGGTCTCTGGGTCATCCAGCCTCTGGGTCCTGGTGGTCCAGTCAGTGTCAGGGGTGGACTCACTCTCATGGCAAAGGTCTCAGGCTGGACCAGTGATTGGTTGGCCACTCCCACAGTCTTTGCTCCACCCTTACCCGAGCACTTCTCATACACAGCAGGACAGACTGTAGGTTGAAGGTTATGTGGCTGGGTTGGTGTCCCAGTCCCTCCGCAGGTCCCAGGAGATGACCAGTTCAGGCTATGTATCCACTATTATTAGAAGTCTGAGCGGGGGTCAACCTTGTGGATTCCTAGGAGTTTCCCTTACACCCGGTTTCTACCTGACCCTAAATGCCCCCCTTTTCCAGTCAGTTTCTCTTCAGATCAGGTGAAAATATTTTTATCATTTACTTTTCTCATTGCCATGACTGAGCATCTGACATAAAGTAACTTAAAGGTGGAAGAGTTTATTTTGACTTAGGATTTGTGGGAGAGGCATGGCGGCAGGAACATGAGGGAGCTGATCATTTCTGTCCTCAGTCAGGAAACAGAGGTAAATGCTGGAGCTTAGCTTGATTTCTTCTCCCTTCCTTTTCATTCCTTCTGGGACCCGTTCCAATGGAATGATGCCACCCACTTTCAGGGTAGGTCTTCCCTCCAGAGGCTTGTCTCCTAGGCAGTTCTAAATGCAGTTAAGCTAACCGTGAAGATGACAGACACCTCATAAATTTAGTCCATTTGGAAAGAACTAGTCCTTTGAAAGTTTATTAACATTCCCCCAAAAGTTTGAATTTGTTTTTATAACTTCCTTATATACTATTCCCACTTGTATTTTATGTAACTATAGAAGATATATAGTCTCTCTTCCAAAGTAATATTGTTCAAACTACCAGTTTGTCAGGAGCCATTTTAGGCTTCTCCTCTCTCACATCTCACAGAGCCTTGAAGTAAAAATCTTGAGACAGAAATCTTAAAGTTAACTAAAACATTGTGTGCTGACCTTGGAGATTCCAGCTTCAGAGGGCACCTCAGAGTGTCTTCTTTGTTTGCAGGTATCACTAACAGCAGGTGTTCTAGCCACTGACCTTGCAACTGCCCCGCTTAGCTGCCTAGCTACCGAGCCTCTCCTTTCCTTCCCCCCTCTCCCCTTCCTCAGTTACCTCTGTCCAAGCTCCTCACTGAGGAGCTTGCTTCAATAAACGGATGCCTTGACAAAAAAGAATACTGCTTGGCCTCTCTCTCTCTCTCTCTCTCTCTCTCTCTCTCTCTCTCTCTCTCTCTCTCTCTCGCCCATGTCTTTCAGATAGTGCCTCTTCAGACCCTGGAATAACTTAGGACCTGCTGGGTGGGTCACCAGTTAATAAAATTGCTTCTTGTTTTGATATCACTACTAACCCTAG